GGGCCGAGGCCGCATGTGCAGCCCGCACCCCGATTCAGAACAGGAGGGTCCTGTGACAGGCTTAAATCACGGTGTCCGAGATGGACAGGTATTTGGAGCCCCGTCCTGCCCAGCCCCAAGCTGGAGGTCAGGGGCCTGCTGCCCTCACAGCCCTGGAATAAAAAGAGGCTCCGGCCTGGGGCAGTGAAGACACCAGGGCAGGATCGCCCTGCGGGAGTCGCCAGTCCCCCGCTCCTCAAGGAGCACAACCGCACCCGGTCACCTACAAGAAGACCCCATCTGCCTGCGGCTATTTACCCCAGAAAATAAGGGGATAGGCGAGGGGCTGTGAGAGGCTTAACTAGTGGCAAAGTATTCAGTGTCTGTCTCTTCTCACTAGCCCCCCCCCCTTGGCCTAAAGAAGCCCTTTCTAGGGTCCTAGGGAGGGAGATGAGGCCTTCACCCAGCGGAGCACCTGGGCCCGGGTTCTCTGCTATGCCCCTCGGATAGCGCCAGTAAGGAAGCGGGCCCTCCCCACTCCTCCACCCAGCTGCACAAGCGGGGTCTCCTCTTCTCTTCTGAACACATAAGCTGCAATTTCAGGATTGAAAACTTCTGAGTAATAAAAACAAATCAGATCTGCTTTCTCTGCCCACCTATGTCGTTTTGCAAGGAGACTGCATCCTTCCTGTCCCCCTTTATGAGCAAAATTGGGGCAGAGAAACACAGACGGGGAACAATCTCAACAAAAATCTGTGCTTTGCCCCAAAAATGGATACTGAAAGAGGCCACAGGACACTCCCCCAGGAAGGCGAAGTCTCCCTCCAAGCCTGATGTGGGAAGAGGGCTGCTGCAGACCCCACCTGGAGAGAGGAGGGAGGCAGCCCCTGAAGCCTGCACCTCTGTCCATCAGCCTCCACGCCCAAGTCTTCTGGCGTTTACTTCCTGGGCCCTGTCATGGCTATGGGAGCTTACTGAGCCCAGTTAAGTCGCCGTCAGGCCTGTTAACCTCTAAAACTGTCTGGAAAGAACGGTCTTCACCGGCATTTCCAAACCTAGAGAAAAAGGGGGAAGCTGCGGCTGGCTTCTGGGGCCGGCCAGCGCCCGAAGACACCAGCTGTCCTGTGACAAGAGTCCAGGCCTGGCCAACTACAGAGACTCAAGTGGCTGGAGGTTCCTCTCCCTGAACTGTCCGGCGCAGGAGGCGCCAGTCCCCAGCCTCCCAGTGCCCTAAGAAGGAGAGAGGCCAAGAACAAAGACAGGGCCCACCACGGAGCAGGGTGGGAGAGGAATGGGAGGCGGGCTGGGGAGGGAGGAAGGCCTTGATTTAGATTAGTCATTAGCCGGGCAGGCAGAGATGGCCCAGGAAATGTGCACATCCCCAGAAAAGCCCCTCTGCGTTGTGCGCCTGGGCCGTTGTTAGAGTGGGGGGTGTGTGTGTATGTGCGTGTGTAGAAGCACAGACACTTGTAATAAAATCGTAGCCTCTTGGCCAGCCCGAGCCGCACGGCCTGACAGCTCAATCACTCTATCCATCAGGCGAGTCAATCAAAGCAGCTTTTCGGAGGTTCAGGGAGCCCGACGTGTCAATAACCGGGCTCGAGATGGCGGGGGCTGATAGTGCGCATCGATCCGCGCTCGGCCGGCACTGGAGGGACAGCTAGATTGCAGCCGGAGTGGAGCGGCGTCTCGCTAGGCTTTGCCCGGCCTCCTGCCGGGCCCGGGTGGCCCGGACCCAGTCCCCGGCCGGCGCCCCGG